TGGCTTGTTGGATGTGACAGAATAGACTTCATCTTGTGTTTACTTTAGTTTAGGTTGTTTTGCTTCCCAAGGAGGCGGGAAGGCAAAGTGGGGCTCACGAGCCACAAACTGGCTACTTAAATTATATACAAGGGAAAAATTAAGATGGCCTTTCCTAATGTGGAAGCAATCTTGCGGCTATTTCTTAGCTTTATGGTCACTAACTGCTCGGGAGAGAGGAGTTTTTCAAGACGCAAAGGAATTAAAAATGAATTAAGGGCCATGATGTCTCAAGAGAGGTTGTCTTCACTGAGCATTCTGTACAGTGAAAGTGACAAACTTAGACAAACAAATTTTGATTAAGTTTTGGATGATTTTGCTATGAGGAAGGCTAGAAAAAAACATTTTTAGTCTTACTGTATTTGATGGTTGTAGTTTACTTCTTAATGTGTATTTTAAAACTGACTGTTTAATGACAACATAAAGTAGATTCTAAAAGTGCCACACTGTTAGGTAATCATGATCATATTATTTACACTTCCCAGGCAATATAATTTGTAAACTCAAGGTTGTTGTTTTTTAAGAATAACATTACAACTTCATTTGCCTAAAAATTAATGCTTATTCCACAAAAGGTTTACAAAGTTCAGTTATTGCAAAAGTTTTTCAGTGTTAATTTTAACATTTATGCATTTTTTTTCAATCACTATGGTATTTAACCATAACATCTTATGTCCTTTAGAGGAGAAATTGTGAATTGCAGAATTTTAAATATCATCATCCTTGGCTTCACTCAATTTTGTTTATAACACTCTTCCATTTTCTTCCAGTCGTGAGGGTGGGAGGATTGGGAGAGGCCTCACAAGTGGAGTAGCCTAGGGCCTCTCTTCATCTAAATCCGGCCCCCTCCAATCTACCTTAAGGCTTCCATACTGAGTCACATTTTTCTCTAGAGACATGTGATAGACCTCTGATCTAGATGTAAGAATCAGCCCTTAGTCTGAGAAATCAAGGTGGGCAATTGTACTGAGCTTCAGTATCTCAACAATTTAGTCTGATTTCCTCACTTGTTATGTGTTCTGGCCCACACTGCCAACATCCAAGCCAAAGTGTTTAGATCTGCTCATTTTGCCAGTCACCACTTGAAAACACTGCCCAAGACAGCCTTTTGCCTTTACCTTGATCTTTGGATTCTGCTTGTGCAAAGGACTCCAGATCTTCTTCAATGAGGTCCGCCAGCTTGCTCATTATTTTTGACCTGTCTTGAGGACTTTTGGCAGACCACCCTGGGAAGGCATTTTGGGCAGCTTTGACTGCAGCCTCCACCTTAAAAATACAATGAACTGATACATTTCATGTGGTGTTAAAGCAATGCAGGAAATACAGGATAAGCTAATGAAAATTATACGAGAGAGAGAAATGATCTTAGAACATTTGTATCTTTTCTGCACAGATTCATCCGGGCCACATTTCAGCCCCTTATTTCGAAAACCCCAGTGATCTCCAGTGCTCTGTAGAATAACAGAGTGTTATCTGTCACCCTCAGCAAACAGAGCTGACTCTCAGTACCTGGCAACCACATGGGTTGAGAGAACATGGGTAGTGACTGAACAGGCCTCTTGCCCTTCTATCCCTCCTTCAAATGTATTATTCATTATTCTAGCATTAGGTGTCAGTGTTGAGCTGCTTTACCTCCTCTCCACACAGGACTGCCAAATCTCTCTAATTATAACACTTTCAGAAGGACATTAAAAGGTATCTCTTTATTTCAGAAGGTTAGGTTAAACACCAAGATATAGCTGGGCAAACCCTGTGGCAGTAAGACAACCAAAATATTATGCAACATCTTAAGAGACTGTTCTACTGTTTTTCACATTCTGCTCAGGACAACTTACATTGCTATTTCAGCACAGGTTTTATAATAATTCAGAATAGTTCAGATGTCACCCTGAAAGGAAAATACAGGATACAGGAGAGCTTGTATGCCAGGACCAGCCTTGTGCCAGGCATGGCACCTAGCACTGCTTAACACTTCACAGAAGTCACCACTTTGCTACAGTAGGAAGCTAATTGGAAAGAAGGATTGCATTGTCTTAAGGCAACTGTTTTCCCTGTTAATATCCAAAACAAGAGACCCTGATGCTAGAAAGCAGCAAGGAAGTGATGGGCAAGCAGAGCGGGACAAATTAGATGTCCAGTGGTCTCAGATACAAGCTGTAGAGAAACCGGGCCTACGAAAACGGAGAGCAAGAAACTTTGGGAGAACAGAACAAACCACAGAACCAGTACCTAGACCTGGGAAGCCTACTCATTTATAGACCAAAGAGCAGTGTGGGGGATGTGTGTGCATGCAGCTGTCACTAGGAATACATGGAATACAAATATCTAACGGAAAGAGGCTCGTTTACATATTCCATTTTACAGGACGCAGTCATCACTTCCAGAGGAAATTTTGTCTCTCCCTGTGGCACGTTCAGGAGAGTTACCAAGAGCAGGTAGGGTTGCCAAGTCCTAACCTGTTGAAGAGCGGGGGAGTCCAGTCTTGTTCTGGGAGTCCGTGCGCACGTGCCGCAATTACGTCACCAGGAAGTGATGCAATCACGTCGTGCACATTTGGGGCAGGGTCACAATCATCCAAGGGAAAACCATAGAGTTTTCCCTCAGATTATTGTGGCCCCGCCCCCAACGTGCCCGACGTGATTGTGTCACTTCCGTGTGACGTGCTGATGCCGGGCATGTCGCGTGCTTTGGGGGTGGGGTTCCCCCCGGGGCCCGATCCGGCGGCGGCGGGTAACGGGCCTCTCAGGTGGGGGGTTTCCCGCCCCCCCCCCGGGGGACTTGGCAAGCCTAAGAGCAGGAGTGAGCAATAAACAAAGACATGGGCAGGATACCAAGTCCAGTTAGGAGTAAGTAATACAACTCTACAGAAAGAGCATACAAACACTCCTAAGTGCCAGAATTTTTAAAAAGTAGGCATATCTTACCAATCACCTTTAAAGCCTTTTTCCCCACATGGAATAATTAGAGCCAAAAATGGTATTCTCCTGGGGAATTCCTCCCTCACCCTTCCGTGAAGGGCTCACCACTGTGGATGCAGGGGTTTCTCTGAGCTTGGTCCTTCATTGCTATAGGCAGGGGCTGTTAATGGCTTGTGACCCAGGCTTAGAGTGCTCTAATGTTTCAATAGGAAGGGGGGACTCTCCACATTAAGGTCACACATTCTTGAAATAAAACTGGAGCTTAGTGCAAAAAGGTATTCAACAAACAAACACAGACACAACCAGAGAATTTGGGGGAGGGGGATGACAAGTCACAGTCCCTTCATTGTTTAGAAAAGCTGTCCCCCATATTTGTGAAAGTAAATCTTGTAGCAAATAACACAGAGGACAGCTTCAAAAATCAGGATGTGCCAGCCCCTTTAAACCTTCACCAGCCCCTGGGAAGCTGCCTCACTCACACAGCTTCCTTGAAAACCTGAGAGATCTTTATCAGTTGCTTTCCAGAGCTACCAGAATAGGCTGGATGATGGGCCTTGTTTAATTTTAACAGAGGTTGCAACAGTGCACTGAGATTAACAATGATACAACTGATACACATACCAAAACACAAATTTTCTTTCCCCCCTGCCACAGTATTTTCAGTTGTAAACTGCTTTGGACCAGAATCTTTTGAAAAAGCAAGAATAGTTGTAGGACGGGGCTAGATCCAGCAGATTTCCACTAAGGGAAGGGGAGGCAGTTTTAGCTGAATTTCCCCTACACTGCAGACCTCCAGAGTCACTCTTCATGCTTCCCTGAGGGTCCCCTGTACCCCAGGAGCAGCATTTCTGGGAGCCTTTCAGGCTGCAGAAGGACAGATGAGGAAGGCCTGTTTCTGCCCTCACAAATCCTTCCAGTCAGTGGAAATTACCCCTGGATCAAACGCATGATCATACTGACAAAAACCTTCCCAATTATACATTTAGCAACGTTCTTAGGAACCGGTAGGGTTGCTAGGCGCCAGGTGTGGCCTGGGGACCTCCTGCTTTTACAACTGATCCCCAGCTGACAGAGATCAGCTCCCCTGGAGATGATGGCTGCTTTGAAGGGTGGACTCTATTGCCATTGTACCCTGCTGAGGCCCCTCCCCTCCCCAAACCCCGCCCTATCCTGGATCCACCCCCAAAGTCTCCAGGTATTTTCCAACCCAGACCTGGCAACCCTAGGAACCTGCTGCTTTAGGGTTGCCAGCTCTGGGTTGGGAAATACCTGGAGATTTTGGGGGTGGAGCCTGAGGAAAGTGGGGTTGGGGGAGGGGAGGCACCTCACCTGGATTTAATACCATAGAGTCTGTTAAGTATGACACTTAACTCTGAGGAACAGCTCAAACAGTGATTTCAGCTTTATTTCAGTGAGAACAACATGAAGGCTCAGCCTTGTAAAGACTAGACCAGCTAGACAATTTCAATCAGCAAAACGGCAAATTATATACAATCCTGGCTGGGATAGCCACACCCATAATGTTTACAACAACCAATCACATTAGGTATATTACATCCAATCACAATCAATAAATAACGTCCAATCAAACCCATTCCCTCCAGAATGCACACCATTGGTCAGTATTTACAATCCGCATAATGAGTGGTGCTAGAGTATGCTTTACCATTATGTCTCCCAAGACATAACAGAGTCCACTCTCCCAAGCAGCCATTTTCTCCAGTGGAACTGATCTTGGTAACCTGGAGATCACTTGTCATAGCAGGTCTCCAGGTGCCGCCTGGAGGTTGGCAACCATTTGCTGCTTATTGGGAAAGACTCATCAGACAAAAGACAGCGAGTGTTTGGGGGCGTGCCCTTCACATTCTATTTGAAAAACAGTAGGTGGGGGTAAAAGAAACTGTGATGCAATCTCAGTGGTTGACTTTTGTCCACCTGTCTCAAAGTTGTATAGTTATATACAGAATAATCTGTTTGCATTCATATCCGAGGAGGAGTAGGATCCTTTTCCTACAAATACTTGCTATGACTAGACTAATCATCTGGCTCAGCCGAAATGTAGTTACAGAGCCATCTTTCATTTTCAATATATTTCACTTCATCTTCAAAATGGAGGGCTTTGCACTTGCTTTTTTTCTTGCACAGGGCTCTGGACCTCTCAGCCTTCTCCTTCATCAAGTAGCTCAAAGACTACATTTATGTCTGTTCCTCTGAAATTTAGGTTTCCCTAAACATGTATTTATGTAGCTGCTAACCTTCAGGTAACAAGTAGAACTTCAGTAGAACTAGTTACACTTCAACTATCCCTTATCTATGCTTGGTAAATATTTGATCAACTCATGCTAAAGGTTACTGAGGAAGCTGCAAAAATTATGTTGCTAGCTTTTGAAACATCCTCACTTACCTTCAAAAGATTTAAATAAAAATGACTTTTGTATAGTTATTTTTAAAAGAAATTAGGCAAAAAACTGCATCTAGTGTATCTGGAAATGCATATTTCCACACAATAATGGTTTGTTGCCTTCTCGTCTTACTTTGATATGGGATTAAATGCTCAATACTCTACTAGAATAAACAATTCAGCAG